AAAGAAAAACCCAAACCCCAAGCCCTAATGTAGGGCCTTCTATAATTACCTATACTAGTTTTGGGGGTTCCTTCTTATAGTTTTTGTCGAATATACCCCAAAACCCTATTCTAACTACTAGGGCCCCTATATGAAGCCTAAAGCAGCGTCTTTTCAGAGTGCTGAGGTCGGCGACAGCAACCCCGACCCCGTTGGCCCGAGTGGCAAGGCGGCGTCCCTCGCTGAACGAAGCCTCTTGGGTCAACAATGAGTTAGAGTGGGGTTTTCGGGTATATTTCATTATAGTTATAATGAGGAACCCCTTTAGAGTAGGGTTTTTTGGGGTATCTTAAACTGTAATTATAGCAATGAGTAAGAGTGGGGTTTTGGGGTATATTAAACTGTAAATATAACAATGAGTTAGAGTAGGGTTTTGGGGTAGATTCTACTATAGCTAAAAAGGAACCCCTGGGGTTTTGGGGTAGATTCTACTATAAGTATAGTAGGGAACCCCCAAATCCAAGTTTTGGGGTAGAATATACTGCAATTTTAGTGAGGAGCCCCCAAAATAGCATTGGTAATTAATGGGAGCGGCCATGGTTGAGTATAAGACACTCGACAATACCCGAAAGCAGCTATGGTAAGTATAGCTATAATGAAGGCCATATAGTTACAGTATATACGGCTTCAAGGACCCTAATATCACTGTCACAATTGTCCTTATAAGAACCGGAGCAACAGCGAAATCAACTGTCCAGATTGCTTAGGAGCATGGCTTTGGGTTGTCAGTATCACTCAAAGTTTAGCTGACATTGCCGCTCATTATTGATATGACACTAGTGCTGAGATTGGTGGCGAAGCGATTCGGCGGCTGTCATTGTAAAGAAGCATGGCTGCTGCAACAACCATGGCCACTGCCACCGAAACAATCGCCCTCGTCAGCACCACCCGCATCGTCAACATTATTGTCATATACCCAGCATCAGTATCGTCCGAACCTGATGTCGCAGCCGCAGTCACCTGTACAGAACCGCAACAGCATCACGTTGCTGCTATTGCTGCCCCAAGTCTTAATTGAATATACGCAATGACAGCATCACCACTACGACGGCATATGCTGTTGCTCCTCCTCCTACTGCTACTGCTACTCCCACTCGTACTCCTATTCCTACTCTTACTCTGACTCCTACTACTATTTCTGCCGTTGCTGCTACTACAACAACAACTACTACTACTACTACCACCACCACGACGACTACGACAACGACAACGACTCCAACTGCGACTGCGACTACGACTACGATGACTGCTACTCCACTACGACTGCTGCTACTACTACTACTACTACTACTACTACTACTGCTACGACTACTACCACTATTACCACTACTACGACTATTACTACTAC